CCTTCACTCGCTCCGGGTCTTCGGCGGCACTGAAGGATGTGCCGCCGAAGACCCAGCGCGCCGCCGGGTGAGTAAAAATTAAAACGGAGCCTCTAGCCAGAGAAGGGATTCTCGGCCACTTCTTCCCCCCTGCTCCCCGGCGGCCCTGCCACTGGCCGCGGGGCCCGATTCGGGGTAATTGGTGGAATTGGCCTAAAGCCGGCCCTGCCTGTAAACCAGGGCCGGCTCCAGGTTTTTTGCCGCCCCAAGAAAAAAAAAAAAAGGGCCGGAGGGCCGGAACCAAAGAAAAAAAAAAAAAAAAAAATGGAGTGCCGTCCCTTGAAAAGTGCTGCCTCAAGCACATGCTTGGAACGCTGGTGCCTAGAGTCGGTCCTGCTGTAAACAGGTGGGAGGGGGAATGTTCCGGGCTGTGGATTGCAAAAAGAGAGAGATGCCTATCTCCACGAGAGGGGCAAGACTTAGAACACACCACTCTCATTGGCATCTTCCTGGCTAGCTTAGGTGGCTCCCTGCCTACTATGCTGGCTTTTGTGAATTCCATTCTAAGGGTACGTCTACACTTACTTCCTGGTTCGGCGGCAGGCAATTGATCTTCTGGAATCAATCCCGGAAGTGCTCGCTGTCGACGCTGGTACTCCAGCTCGGCGAGAGGAGTATGCGGCATCGACGGGGGAGCCTGCCTGCCGCGTCTGGACCCGCGGTAAGTTCGGACTAAGGTACTTCGAATTCAGCTATGTTATTAACGTAGCTGAATTTGCGTACCTTAGTCCAAAGTGGGGGGTTAGTGTGGACCAGGCCTTAATTACATCCAACAAGCTTGGGAATTTAGTGTTATGCAGCTATGGTTTGATCCTCTTCCATATATTTAATATATTCTGTGACTATGTAACTTTTCTCCTTTAAGACAAAGTATAGGTGCAGTATAGTGGAGGTGCTATCACAAGATAATGTGCAACATGTTGGTGATTCAGTAAATAAAAATAAATTGATGGAGATATCCCATCTCCTAGAACTGGAAGGGACCTTGAAAGGTCATCAAGTCCAGCCCCCTGCCTTCACTAGCAGGACCAAGTACTGATTTTGCCCCAGATCCCCAAGTGGCCCCCTCAAGGATTGAACTCACAACCCTGGGTTTAGCAGGCTAATGCTCAAACCATTGAGCTTTTCCTCCCCCCCAGTAGGTGTTAGTCTTTCTTCTGAGTCAATAGTGAACCACTGCCTTAGCATAGTATTAGGCAAAGCCTTGTATACTCTGCCATAAGTTGTATCTAACTTCTACAACAAGGTCTCAGGAGTCGGTTGCACTGTTGAGCAAATGACTAAAAATTTAATGGCAGCTTCTTTTAAAATTAAAAATAGAGGGGTTTAATGATTAAGAACTGAAAATAAATAATACCCTTGGCACAGTCCCTGTGTTATTGATACTAAATTCAATTTATTTTTATACCCCCCCCCCATTTTCAGTTTTCTATTTCCTGCAGAGTTTTGTGTGGATAATTCATAACTGCATCATAGATGATGTCAAGGGAAAAGTTTGGCAGCTGAAAAGGTGTGAGAAGCAGTTAGCAGAATGATTCTGCTAAAATCATCATCAGTGAGATAGTTAATAATGTTGAAAGTTTAATAGTCATCTTTAGTTTCACAGTTAACACCCATGGCCCACACCTCTGAGAGCTGTTGTTTCAGGCTAGCGATAGACTGTGGTACGCAACAATGTATAGGTTTATGCTCAGCTCGAGTTTTGGAGGGTTTCTTTTGTAACCATGAGGGCTAGAAATATTTTTAAATGAAAACGTAGACCCTGAAGCACAATTCTACATCAAGGGAATGGCAATGGGTAGATGCTTCAGCAAATTCTGCAGCCGTAGGACACGCAGGCTCTGGACTTTGGAGGTGATATCTTTTGAATGTAATGTCCAATTCTGTCCCTGAGTACTTGTGGTCATTAGAAATTCTGTGACACATTTCAAAGGGATAAGGATATTAGCTGGTGTGTCCAGAAAGAGTTCTCTCTACTTTTCTTAGTTTACACACCCAGTTGTTTATTTGTGAAATATCTATGGGTGGAGGTGCAATGAATGTGTGACAAACTACACCTCTACACCTCTACCACGAGCTGATATAACACGAATTTGGATATAATGTGGATCGGCGGATCAAAGCAAGTTCGATATAATGCGGTTTCACCTATAATGCGGTAAGATTTTTTGGCTCCCTAGGACAGCGTTATATCAGGGTAGAGGTGTAGTACCAGTAAGCAACTGATTCTATTTCTTGGCCCCAGTCTTATGAGACTGATTCCATGAATCCTTCTTGCCTTTTAAAAAAAAATCCAGTTATTTGCCATTTGTACTGACTTTTCAGGGTGGATTGATTTAAATCAGCAATTGAAATCATGATTTAAATCACCAAGTGGAAAGCCTCAATTTAAATAATCAATTTTAGTTAACTTTTGCATTTGTACTGGTTATTTTCTAAAGAAATGTGCATTCTCATTGGTTGATATGACTATTAAAATATGTTGATTTTATAACTAAATAGAGCCTACACCAGGGGTGGGCAAACTTTTTGGGCCAAGGGCCACATCGGCTTGCGAAACTGTAGGGAAGGCTGTGCCTCCCCAAACAGCCTGGCCCCCGCCCCCTATCCACCCCCCTCAGAACCCAAGACCCATCCAACCCTCCCTGCTCCTTGTCCCCTGACTGTCCCCCCCCCCGGGGCCCCCCGCCCGGCCCCCCCCCCGGCCCCCCCCCCCCCCCCCCCCCCCCCCCCGTCCCCTGACTGCCCCGACCCCTATCCACACCCCCGCCCCCCAACAGGCCCCCTCAGGAGCGGCGGACCAGAGGCTGGCAGCGTGCTGAGCTGAGGCTGCGGGGGAGGGGGCACAGTGCGGGAGGGACCGGGGGCTAGCCTCCCCGGCCGGGAGCTCAAGAGCTGGCCGGGACAGTCCTATGGGCCGGATGTGGCCCACGGGCCATAGTTTGCCCACCTCTGGCCTACATTGTAGATTTTGCTATGTAAGAGGGTACACTATAACTACATTTATTTAAATAATTATATAGATTAATATTTTCAGATTCTTATTTGTACATTTTTAGTATGTTAGAAAATGGTGAATGATGTATTGCTTATTTACTAGATAATTAACTTTTTGCTCATGATTTGTGTGCCATATTAGGATGGTAACTGGAATTAAAACAAACACACAAAACAGCATATACAATGTATTTTTATTAAACAAACAAACTTTAAATGTTTTGGATACATAAACTTCTCATCAAAACATTTCACATTTATAATTAAATTATAAGTAGTTTAGGCCTAACATATTTTGCATTAAATTCAGATTTCATTTTAAACAGATTTATTTTTTAAAAAGTTATAATTTAAATAAATTGAATTTTTTTATTTGATTTTTAAGTAAAAAAAAAATTTAAAAAAATCCACTGATTTTTATCCACCCTGTTTTTCTGCTAACCTATTAATCTATGCATTGAAAGGAACTGATATAGTGTGATACATAATTACAAAATGGCCAAAATGAGCCACTTATGAATTATGACTTTCATTATCTTCCCTGGAATATTCTGATGAGCAAACTGCCATTTACAATGTGCTATTACATTGTTACTCATTGTACTGTGCAACATATCTATTTAAGAAAGAATGAGTAATCCACTAGTAAATAGTAATTACTCCAGTTTAATTCAATAGATCTGGGTCAAACTTGGACCACAGGTGATCTCAAATCTTATGTGTTTCCTATTACTTCCTTTTTCTTGTAATTTTGGTACCATGTCCATATCCATGCTTGGCCAGAATAGCATGTCTTGGGCTCTGCCAGAATGTCTGATCCCGTGGTGCGTGGCACTGTTACAGAATGCCCTATCTGTAGGATTCCATTATCTGCAGCAATTTTGTCTCTACAGGCAATATGTTGATATGCTGTTTTCCATTGGTCATCCATCCATCTAGGACAGGTGCTGAGGACCAATGTTGGGCCTGGGAAAAACGTGGTAGTTGGAGTTTTTCGACCATCCCTTTCAAACCAGAGATCAAAGAGCTGTTAAAGTAGGTCAGGCAGATTCCCTTGCCATAGCTTCCTGCTTCCTCAAGCAGTAGCTACCCCTGACTCCAAGCAATGGAAAAGAATGTGCCGAACAGGTGCCCTCACCTAGCAGCAGACCAGGCGATGAGTATTTCCCTATGTGCTAATGGAAGAGCCCCCCGTGAACTGGGGGCTCCTGCATCAGTATTGCAGCAACCCCTTCTCACCACAGTTAGTCTTATCCCTAAAGCCTCAGCCTGTGGAGCCCCCCGGGAGCTGTGCGAATCTCAGCTTTGACTCCGACCCAATGACAGTTCTCGCCCCCAGGGGCGCAGAGAACAGTTCTCGCCCCGTCACCCCAGCGCCCTGGCCGGCTCCGAAGACAGGCGGGAAAAGACTGGGAGCTTCGTATTAACCCCCCGCCCCCGGGGATTTCCACACCCTGGGTTTTGGAGGCCAGAGGAGGGACATGACCTCTTGGCATGGGTCAGACTGAAGGCTGCGCTACGGCCTCTACCTCGGGGTCCCACCCTGTCCCGTGGGGACCCGGCTCCCCTCCCCTCGGATCCCGGCCAGGCCCCGCCCCCTGGGGAGCCGGCCCCCCCCCGCGGGGGTCCCATCCAGCCCCTGAGGGGAGCCGGCCCCCCCCGCGGGGGTCCCGCCCAGCCCCTGAGGGGAGCCGGTCCCTACCCGTGGGGGTCCCATCCAGCCCCTGAGGGGAGCCGCCTCCCCGTGGGGGTCCCATCCAGCCCCTGAGGGGAGCCGGCCCCTACCCGTGGGGGTCCCGCCCAGCCCCCCAGCGGAGGCGGCCCCCACCCCGAGGGGTCCCGCCCCGAGGGCCGGGATGGGGGGGGGAGGGGAGAGAGGCGCCTGTCCCGCCTCAGCCTCCCCCGGGGCCGAGGCTCCTCTCCCCGCACCGCCAGTAGGTGGCCGGGGCCGGTCACATGACCCCCCCAGTTGCTACCACAGAAGCAGAAGCGGGGAGCCTCGGAGAGTCTCAGCCACCGACCGGCCTGGCAGCGGCACCGGCACCGGCTCCCTTGGCGCCGCCGCCTGCAGCGTAGGGCACCGGCCGGGAGGCTCCCGGGGCTGCAGCTCCCCGCGCCCAGGTGAGGCAGGAGGCAGGGAGGCGGGCGAGTGAGCCCCAGCCCGTCGCCGCCGAGGCTGGGGGCGAGGGGGCTGGAGGAGGGCGCGCTCCCCGCGGCCGTTGGCCCGGCGCCCCCCGGGGGTTGGCCCAGCGCCCGGGCGGCACCTGTCCCCCGGCCGGGGGCTCTCGCCGGCGCTGGGCTCTGCAGCGGCCGGGGCCGGGGCCGGTCTGCAAAAAGAAGGAAGGAAACGCTGCAGCGCTGGGAGCCTTTGACAGCTGCAGGCGCGGCCCGAGCGAGGCGGGGCTGGTGCAGCCGGAGCTCCCTGCGCGCGGGGTCGGGGGGGCAGCGGTCTGGGTGTTTGGTCTTGGCCTTGCAGGGTTGTTCGTGGGGCTGCAGCGGGGCACTTGTATAGAAAGGCCCTTTGGGGCGGCTTCTTCCTTCCCCTCTCGCCGGCCTGACGCTGTCAGCTAGCCTGAGGGTAACCTCTGCTGAGAGCCCTGCCCAGTTGTGCTAGGCGCTGTACAAACCCAGCTAGAGGCGGTCCTTGCCCAAGGAGCGCTTGCGATCTAAATAGCTAAGACAAAGCAGGGTGAATGGAAGTATTACTAGTGAGTGATCTGCCTGAGGTCAAAGATCTCCAGATGCTGCTGCTGCCACACCATCCTTCCTGTCCCACCTAGGATGCCTGGAAAGCACCTGGCATATCATGGGCGCAACTACAAGAAATAATGATCATAATAAATGCTGCAGCATTGCAGTAACCTACACCTGTGATAATTTGCATTTAGTGCAGTTCTTTCTCTTCTCCCTGCTTCTTAGCAAAGATCTGTTAGCAGGTAGGTGTGGAGAGCTCTTAGTATACAAAGGAGTTGTCTTAACAAATTATGAAGCACTATAACAAAGTATAACTCAATACCGTTGTCTAAATAAATAAAGGTAGTATATCTTATGTTTGCATTATAGTTGTTCTTAGTTATTTGCAATGTTTTTCTAGCCTTTAGTGCACATTAGTGAGGTTATACAGTACATTCAGCGTTCCCAGTCCTGCAATGTGACATGTGCAAGACCCCCCATCAACTCAATTGTCTACCCACATCACATTGTGGGAGTAGGAAGGGATAATCTAGTGGATTGGGGACTAGACTTGTGTTTAGAACTGTTACTGTGTTCAATTCCCAGGTCAGTCACAGACTTCTTTTGCACTGGTCATTTATTTTCCCCTCTGCTCCAGTTCACTATCTGTAAAAGAGGGATAACACTTCTGTTCCTCACAGCGATATTGTGAGGCTAAAGTCCACTGACTGTGGCATGCTCAGATACCGTGATAATAAATAACTACTTTGATGAATAGATTAAAAAAAATTTCTGATAGGTCAAATAGTACCTCTATACTGGTCAGTGCATGATTGTTACAAACATCACACATTGTGCTTTGCCCAGTCTAATCTCATGTGCTTTCATCACTTCCTTTAGGGGTCTAATAAATTTCATAGTTGAGAAACTCATTGTGATGTTACTTTAAATGAACTTTACTTCATTTAAAATACTTTAAAGTTACTTTAAAGTAAACGGGTAGGTCACTTTGAAAGGGGAATGGTATAGAGTAAAAGTAGTGGAAAGTTTTATACTGTAGGGAGCAATCCTTCATTGGTCAATTTAAGGTTTTTAGTCCATCCAACAGATCTTTTTCCATGTCTGTTCAATGAAGTAGATATCATTAAATTTAGGATGATTTCAGAGTACAGTACAAACCTGACCACTGATATGTATCTTGAAATTTAGAATTAATGATAAAATAACCAATGAAGATGCTTACATCTTAAGGGGGGAAAAGATAATCTTTTATAATTCTCAGAAAATTTAGGAGCAGAAATTTATTAAAACCAATGTACCATATACATTGAGAAGTGTACAAAAGGCCATCCTTATTAAGCAACTTCCTGTGTGAAGAGACTGCCCCAAAGCATTCCTCGAATGAAATAAATTTGTCAGGTTTTGCTTTACAGCTACTGTTTGTCCCTATAAAAGACATATCTGATCTGTTTTGTTAGATTATCAAGAAAATGAGATTAATTTAGTAGTCAGGCGCTTGACTGTGTATAATTCAGTGGAGCATTAAAAAAATGAACTTCTAAAAATTATTTTTTAAAGACTCAATGCTACAGATCTGAATTATGGTCTGATTGATGTTAATGCAATTCTTAATTTTGGGTGTGATGGGGGAGGAAGGAAGGAGAGAGCAAGAACAGTATTGTATGTTTAAAAGTCAGATCAAGGATTTCCTTTGATTTTTTTCCCCTTCATGCATTGCCATTATCTCTTGTTATTGGAAAGCATTGTAACTGAAGGGATTATGGGTAGATCACTAGATATGAATCCACTATAATTTCATGAATGAATTATGTGATTAGTTCTATAGAGTCAAAAGGATCGATTGCACTTTCGGCTAAATCCTATCAACACAGTGACCCTGATAGATAATTTGTCATCATTCCCTGGGGATTGGTATACATAACTCCCATTAGAGTTAATAGAAAAATTTAATATGAATAAATGGGTACAGAACACCATAAACCTCTGTAGTGCTTTGCAAAACATGGGCTAAAAGGTATGGTCCCTGCTCCAGAGAGCTTAGAATCTAATGTAAAATGGGATAACAGGGCAGATCATGATCTTCTTCATCAGTGTGCAGTAGGAAAGATTAAGTGAAGTATTATTTAAGAAGGGATTTGAAAGAGAAGGGTGACTGTAGCAGAGAACTTTGAGAAGGCTGGGAGAGTGGACTTTGTGAAAGGAGTGGATGATGAGATGGTGAAAAGAAAGTAAGTGTTGGTGAGAGAGAGAGAGAGAGGAGGAGGGAGATCTGAAGAAAACGGTATTTAGTAAGGATCAGGTCAGGAGACAGTGATGGGGGGGAAGTTAGGTTAAAGAAGGAGGTTACAGAAGGGAAGCGAGAAGTAGCAGAGTCAGATTGGTTATCCAAATGGAAACTGAAACTGCTCATGGTGAAGGGTAGTGGATTGAGGAGAGCGGAAGAGAACCAGAGGAGATTCTGGAGCTGGTGGTTGAAGCTGCTGTGAGGGGCTTTAAGCCCTTCCTACTTCTGGCCCTGGTTGAGAGGGATGTCAAGAAAGCTGTGGTGACAGCCACTGCTTCTTGTGCGAAAATTAAACCACTTCCTCCTTTGCTCGTGGATGAAAGAGTAGGCTCCACAGTGTCCATTGTGTGCAGGATTCTGCACCAGGGTGAGGTGTACCCGCGACTGTAATTCGTTAATGGCTGCAGTGATGTGCAGGAGACTGAGACATGGAAGCTTCTTGATATTTATGAGAGTTGCAGCACGTGCATTGGGCCTCTTGTGTCTCTCAGCAGTGCTTAATTTGTGCCACCTCTAGGCTTGGCAGTTCATAGCCCCGGCACCTCTCGGCTTGCTGCATCAGTTATGATGTAAAAAAATTGCTTGAGCCCTGGCACCGAATTGCTTGAGCCCCTGCACCTCTTTCATTACAAATTAAGCACTGTGTCTCAGCGGTCTCCTCGCTTGATGGCTGTCATGTACAGAAACATGTGCCATTTGTCACATAAATAAGAGATGAGGTGACCACATGGAGATGTAAGTACTGTATGGTCGTAAAGCTTTAAAGGTGCAAAGACTGACATTAAATACAATATTATAATTTGTCTTTTTCCCTGAGGTCTTTCTTGTCCTCTTCTGAGTCATGGGGTCAGATCCTCAGCTGGTGTAAATTGTCATCACTCTACTAACTTCAATGGAGCCTTGACAGTTTACACCAGGGGTCGGCAACGTTTGGCACGCGGCTCGCCAGAGTAAGCACGCTGGCGGGCCGGGCCAGTTTATTTACCTGCTGACGCGGCAGGTTCGGCCGATCGCGGCCCCCACTGGCCGCGGTTCGCCGTCCCAGGCCAATGGGGGTGGCGGGAAGCCGTGGCCAGCTCATCCCTCGCCCGCGCCGCTTCCCGCCGATATGGTAAGATTTTAGGCATACTTTAAAACTGTTGCAGAGGCTTATTTTCCTTTATTGATATCTAAGCCACTATGTTCTTAATACCCAGGATGTAAAGGGTTTCTAGATATTTCTGACAGGAAGGAAAATCATAATACCCTTTGAGCCTGAAAGCCAGGATATGTCTACACTGCAATTAAAAACCCGTGGCTGGCCTGTGTCAGCTCACTTGGTCTCGTGGTGCTCAGTCTGTGGGACTGTTTAATTGTAGATTAATTGTAGGCAGGTGGGAGGATCGCAGACCTCAGGCTGCAGCCCAAGCTGGAATATCTAAACCACAATTAAACAGCACGTCAGCCCAAGCCCTGTGAGTCTAAGTCGGCTGGCACGGGCCAGCCGCGGGTGTCTAATTGCAGTGTCGACATGCCCTAAAAGTTTTTAGTTTGCACATAGAACACTTGAAAAAAGCTGATATAGAAGATAAATATGGTGGTATTCTAAAATGGGAAGACTTCTTATAGGGAGAGAAAGTGAGTAGTGGTTTCAGATTTGGAATAGAGCTGCTACCTTCTCTATATGTGTCTCTATTAAAGAGAATTGCTAAGAGTGACGAGTCAGTGGTCTCTCACTCCTTATAAAACAATAATAATTAAAAAAATGAAAAAAGCGTTCTGATAGTTGTTGGAGAGCTGGGCCATGGGGTGGAAGGTACATCATTTAACATCTGCTGAGACTACCCAAAGGAGGCCAAATTCTGGACATTTGCCTGTGATTTCATCTTTGAATTCACCAGATCCAGACTGCATTGGCCTCTCTAGTGATACTTCTGGATTGCCCTGCAAATGAGAATTATTCGCTGAAGGATTCAAAGCTTATTTTTCACCTTTTAGTGTCAATGAGGTGCACCTTAGTAAAAGAAAGACCCTGTAGACACTATTATGTGGTGTAAAAGGACCCAGGGCACACTTTGTATGGAAAAGTTTACTGACAACACAGAAATGGGTTCCAGTGGTTACAATATAACAGGGGTCGGCAACCTTTGGCACGCGGCTTGCGGCTCGCCGGGGTAAGCACCCTGGCGGGCTGGGCCGGTTTGTTTACCAGTGTAAACTGCATTAGGGCTTTTGCTGGAAATGTTGCAAACAAATCACCCTTCTAACTGACATTCCTATACCAGCAAAAGTTTCTAATGTAGACCTAGACTTAGAATTTGAACAAAATAATCCCTCACACTTATTCAGTTTCTTGATTATTTTTAGCTGCTTTCTTTGTTATAAGATAGGCACAGTCTTCTCTCATGTACACATGAATCTCCTTTTAGTTTCAGATGCTTTCTCCTCTTTGTCACAGCTATGCTTACAGTGAGCGTATCTCTTACGTCTCCTCTTACACTGTTTTCTCTCCCATGTCTTCTCTGTTGTTTCTGGGGAGAATCAAATCATCCACTGTATAAAATATAATTTTGAGCCTTCTGCATAATGCTGCAGATAATATTTGAAAGAGACAGACCACATTTATAACTGTGTGTGCATGCAAATCAAAGGTCAGGTGCATTTGCGCTACCTTTGCATGCTTGCAATCCCAGTTTTCCTGCATACACCAGAGGGATGGGGGGAGCATTTGTTCAAATACTGTTATAAATTTGGGCCAGAATGATCTTAGCTCGCCTTATGCTACCATGGAACTTTAGATAGTCATTATTGTTGCATTGTTGATGAAACAGTGGAGTTTTTGTTTTGTTGTTTAGAATCTGAGATCATATTTCATTGAATGCTAAGGCTGCTCCACCCAGCTGAGTGTTGTGAGTCCTGCTGCACTGGATCACTGATCCCTCCCCCAGCGAAACACATTTCTCCTTGAAAACCTCACAGACTAGGTAGGATTGTTGTCAAGGTTAACCAGATAGCTGAGACTGTATGCTTGCACCTGAAGTGCAGTGATGCATTTTGAACTTTTTTCAACACTGATCCTTTATTTTATTTTTCATTTTTTGGTAAATTGAAGGAAATAAAACAAAGTAAAGTTATTTAAATATTAAATTTTGCTCCCTTCTCTCCTCCCCTTTTTCAGCACCTCAGGAACGTATCAGTTTGATGAAATTTGATTTTAAAAAATGTCCAGAAAGAGCACAGACTATGGAGTGCTGCCGGAGTATGAGAAGAGCCAGATTAAAAGGACTCTGGAGCTGGGAACAGTTATGACAGTGTTCAGTCTCAAGAAGTTTACTCCAGAAAGGAGGACCATCCAAGTCATAATGGAAACCAGGCAGGTGGCCTGGAGCAAGACAGCTGACAAGATTGAAGGTTTCTGTGAGTATTGGCATGGCATGCCAGAACTTGGAATTTATTACTGATAAATGTAATTGACAAAGGGTCATTTAGATCAGCATTTGACAGTTTGCTTCTTTTCACCCAAGAGCATAATTAAACTTTAAAAATTGCATTCTGTGAGCCCTGTTGGTTTACTGTAATGTAAACCAAGTTTCTCCTACTAGTTAGCCTTCAGCAGGGCTAGCTGCCTAACTTGTTGCTACGCTCAGGCTTTTCTTCCTAGAAGCCTTTTGTCAAAGGCTAAAGATTCAGATCCTGATCTTGCAACCTCACTTATACATGAGTAAGGGCTAACTTGCATCATTAAAAGTAGTAGGATCAGGCTGTAAGTACTTACTAAAAAAACACACAGAACCCAATTTAAAACATACTGGGAAGAAACTTAACAGAAGGACTTGGGCTTAGAGCCTTTTTTTTTTTTTTTTTTTTTTTTTTTTTTTTTTTTTTCCTTTCCAGTGTGTTCAGTTTGGATGAACTGGGGAGGTTGGGTTGGGAAAGCCGATTTGCAAACTTTACTGTTTTCTTTACCTATAACTCATTAATGTTTTAAAAAATAAATGTTTGCAGATTATTAGTTTATACTAAGAGTCAGCGTCTTAGGTTATTTTCAATTCTGAGCCATTTCATTACAAGAGGGGAAAAATATTCTGAGTAACAATGGCAAACTGGGATCATCTAGTAATTGCAATCTCATTGTAGGGCACAGAGGTCTGAAATGCAACCCTACCTTAAATTTTACTAGACGTGCAGAGGTGTGTTTCCTTGGTACGAAAGCTTTGTTGCGATAGGCTCTGTGTTTAAAAAAATAAAAATAATTTCTGTATACATGGATCTCTTAGTCTTCAAAATCAACTCAACTCACAATTAATTAAAAAAATAAAACCAGGCAACAAAAGTAACACAAAAAATGAAACTATCCAACAAAAACTACATTGGGATCTGAAAGAAAAGGACAAAAGAATCATAGAAATATAGGACTGGAAGCGGCCTTGAGAAGTCATTAAGTCCAACCCCTGTGCTGAGGCAGGACTAAGTATACCTAGACTATCCCTGACAGGTGTTTGTGTAACCTATTCTTATCAAGCTCCTTTGGAAACCTAGTCCAGAACTTAACTACCCTTATAAATAGAAAGCTTTTTCCTAATATCTAACCTACATCTCTCATGCTGCAGATTAAGCCCATTACTTCTCGTCCTACCTTCAGTGGACATGGAGAATAATTGATCCAATTTATAACAGCCTTTAACATATTTGAAGACTGTTATCAGGTGCCCTCTCAAGTCTTCTTTTCTCAAGATTAAACATGCCCAGCTTTTTAAATCTTTCTAAACCTTCTGTCATTTTTGTTGCTTGTCTCTGGACTCTCCAATTTGTTTACATTTTTCCTAAAGTGTGGTGTTCAGAATTGGACACAGTACTCCAGCGGAGGCCTCATCAGTACTAAGTACAGCAGGACAGTTACCTTCCTAGTCTTATGTAGGACACTCCTGCTAATACACCTCTCTCTCTCTCTCTCTCTCTCTCTCTCTCTCTCTAAGTGGTCTTGGTGCCACTAGATGGGACAGAACACCACACCCAAGAGGTGTGTAGGTTACATACTTTCCCGTAGCTAAGGAAGCGTGTCCTGAGCTTCAGAGACTTCCCAGTTGAAATACCTGATGAGCCCCCACTTGTAACGCTGACAGACCCTGGTCATCGGCAGACGGGATCAAACCGGGGACCTCTGGACATTAGTGCATGAGCCTCTACCACGTGAGCTAAAAGCCAACTTCCTGTTAGCTAAGGTTGTAGAGTCATTTAACACTCTCTCTTTAAGTGGTCTCGGTGCCACTAGATGGGACAGAACACCACACCCAGAAGGTGTGTGGGTTACACAACCACGTCACATTGTTGACTTTTATTCAATTTGTGATCCTCTATAACCTCCAGATCCTTTTCAGCAGTACTACCACCTAGCCAGTTATTCCCATTTTGTAGCTGTGCATTTGATTTTTCTTTCCGAAGTAAAATACTTTGTACTTGTCTTTATTGAATTTCATCTTACTGATTTCAGACCAATTCTCTAATTTGTCAAGATTGTTTTGAATTCTAATTCTGTCCTCCAAAGTAATAGCAACCCCTCCCAGCTCGGTATCATCCATGGATTTTATAAGCACGCTCTCTACTCTATTATCCAAGTCATTAATAAAAATGTTGACAAGTACCAAACCCAAGACTGACCCCTGTGGGACTCACTAAATACATCCTCCTAGTTTGACAGCAAACTGTTGATAACTACTCTTTGAGTACAGTCTTTCAACCAGTTATGCACCCATTTAATAGTAATTTCATCTAGAACATATTTCCCTAGTTTGTTTATGAGAATGTCATGTGGTATTGTGTCAAAAGCCTTATTAAAATCAAACTATATCATGTCTACTGCTTCCTCTCATCCACTAGGCCAGTAACCCTATCAAAGACGGAAATTGTGTTTTTTTGGCACAGTTTATTCTTGACAATGCCATGCTGGCTACTCCTTGTAAACCTATTGTCCTTTAGGTGGTTACAAATTGATTGTTTAATAATTTGTTCCAGTATCTTTCCAGGTATCTAAGTTAGGCTGCCTGGTTTATAATGCCACGGGTCCTCCTTCTTTCTCTTTTTAAAGATAGGTACTGTTTGCCCTTCTCCAGTCCTCTTGGACTTTACCCGTCTTCCATGAGTTCTGGGAAATAATTGCTAATGGTTCTAAGATTGCATCAGCTGCTTTAAGTATCCTAGGATTAATATCATAAGCCTCTGCTGACATGAATACATTTAACTTATCTAAATAGACTTTAACCTGTTCTTTCCCTATTTTAGTTTGCATTCCTTACTCTTTGTCAGTATTAATTATATTGAGTATCTGGTCACCATTAACCATTTTAGTGCAGCCTGAAGCAAAATAGGCATTGAACTCCAGCCTTCTTGATGTCATAATTTTTTAGCTCTCTTTTGCCACTAAGTAGAGGACCAATACTTTCCTTCATATTGCTGTTGCTCCTAATGTAGAAAGTAAATTCGACATACTGCAGTAGCTAGGCATTATGGACAACTGCTAATTACTTTCTCGTTATGCCCAGGAAGTCCCTTATGCCCGGATTCTGCAACGGAATCTATCTGGTTAGTCCAGTTGACTTCAGTGGGGCTCTAAACTGGTGAATCTAAATTTGCAGAATTAGGGACATAATCTGGAATTTACGGGTTTGGGTAATTTTTCCCTGGTCCTCTCCCTTAGCCCTATTGTGTGTGTGTGTGTGTGTGTGTGTATATATATATATATTATCATAGGAGATCTCTGATTGCAGCATATCAGGTGCAAATATTTTGTCAATGTGGTGCAAGTTTCTGTAAAAGTGAAAACCATAATTTGTGGCGTAAAAGGTATTGAGTTAGCCACTGTTTCTATATAGCATAAATTCTGGTTTAATATCTGAGGCTGATCCCATACTTCAAGGACCATTTTTTTTTATCACTATACTGTTTTTGTCTGCCTATTTTCATTATAATATTGTAATATGTAAGAAAACAAATTAAAATAGTGTGAGAGAGATACAGGAATTAGACAATAATCTTACCAGTATACATTTACTGACATTTTACATTCTTTTTGTAAAGTTGCATTTAAAATGAAAATGATATATAAATGTGTCAGTCCTGTTCAAGACATTCAAATGATGAATTCTGGTCCACGTTTCCAGAAATAAGTACGGTATGTTGATATTTTAAAATGTATATGTATTTAATTTGTTTGTTTTCATTTTCTTCCTGTCCCTGTATACGGAAAAATTTCTCCTTTCCTCTCTCTGGTAGTGGCAAGCTTGCTTTTACATGACCCGTCCTTATTCTTTCAATAAAGAAATTGAAGATGAAAGGGATGCTGTTAAGTATTTTAGGTCCAGAATGTGAGGTTTAATTATATATAATTGAAATATAAAATTGAAAACATATTTTCCCTGCAAAGTTGGACACTTTAACACTAACAGTATTCTGATAACGGTAAAGAGTCAGAAAGTGAGAGTGACTATAAACAATCAAACCGACAAGTTCAGTTTCATTGTCCAATTTAAGTGTCAGGTATATAGTCGTAAAAAAAAATTATAAATTGTAAAATGTAAATTTTAAACTTCCACAGTTTAAAAAAAACTCATTAAGATATTATGAATAAAACAGATAAGGAAACACTTTTTTAACATCTAAGATTTTGGAGCCTCATTCACCATTCTGTTACTTTAGTTGTACACTAGTATGACAGTAATGTTATGGCGGTAAAAAATGGAATATTGTAGTGATAGTCAGAGATGCTTTCTGAAGCTTAATCAATAAATATTTGCAAAGTGCTCTGAGATTCTTGGATGAAAGAAACTGTATTGTGGGTTGGGCTGGTAGTGCTACCTATTAAGGTTACTTGATACTCCCCATTACAAGACCCTGTTTTTAGTTGCTTAAACTTTGTCAAACTTTAACCATTTGGGCTGAAATGTTCCATGCTGGATGTCTGCTTCATGTTGAATTATTATTACTTTTTTTTAAATTTCAGACACAAGAGTGAAGCTAGATATGTTGTTTTACCCTCGTTAAGTTCTGGTGACCTTTTCTTTGAAAAGCTCTTACACCCCCATGCTTTGGAGCAGGGACTTGAAATTTAACAGAGGTGGCCCTTGTGTCCGGGATGTGCCTTTTGCCATCCCTGTGAAAATCCACTTAAGTTAGGCCAAGGCCTTTGGAAAATGGCAGTTTGCACATGCTCGGCAGACACGACTTAGACTTTAGCAGCTAAATTCCCCAAAGGTTCTGTCCTCAGTGAGCATGCTCCAGCACAGGGCTGAGCAGGACTCTACTTGCAATTGCAGTTCTGGGCTGCAGTGGGCCATCCTGGGTCTGGGCACCTGAACTGAGATCAGGGAGCCTATATGTCCTGTGCTCTCAATGACCTCTCTACTGGGCCCAGGTAGCATGGA